AACACTGCATCATGATTTTGCAGTAATAACTCAAGAAGCTGGGACAAAAAAATACCCCAAAACAACCCTTGGGAATATTCTAATGGATGTGCCATTTCCAGATCCTGATCTCAAACTTTGTGTAGACACGTCCTCATATTATCTCAACCGTAACCAAGTTGGTTATTCAATAACTACTGAAGATGAGCTAGTGGAGGCTTCACCAGTCTGAAGCTGAATGCACAGGCAGCAGAAATGATTGCATTAATGAAGACTTGCCAGCTGTCCAAAGACTACAAATACACCAATTCTCTGTTTGTATTTGGAGTTTGCCACACCACTGGATAACTATGGAAGCAGTGAGGGTTTATAACTTCTAGAGGGAGTAAATACTGAACTGTTAAAAGCTACGCAATTGCCAAAGAAACCAGCTGTCATTCATCAGGCAGCTCACACTGGCTAAAGGACAAAGCAGAAACAGGAAATGATCTAAAGAAGTTTTATTATGACTAGTAATTGGTAGTGTGAGTATTAGTGATCGGTCAAATCGTGTTGTACCTGAATGCTTTAAAGGTGTAAGAGCCCTATGTAGAACCACGTTCCGGGTGCCCCAGTTTGGCTGGGACACCTCATGCACGTGAATAAGCGTTTACTCTCTTAATTCTATACTTTGTGTCCCAGCCAGTCTCCTTGGTTGGCATGAGCTAGTTGCGAATTTTCGTAATGGTATAAGGTCTAGAATTTGTAGAAAAAATAGAAAACTTGAATTAATAAAATAAATAACAATGATTACAATAAATAAACAAACTTGAATTAATAAAAAACTTATGAACTGATAACTCTCCCTGTCTCTCTGCAATGGATATTCTGCATCAAGTACAAGGAAGAGTGGCTGAAAATGTGAAGTACACCTCTTTAGTCATTTATTCAATATACATCTGTTTCAAAGCGAGGTGGGCTGGTTCTAATATGACATCAAAAATATGCCACAATATTTTATGCAGATTGCTTTATTTTATAAATTCTGCATTTATATAACTGCCTTGAAAAAAAAGTATTTATTATAACTTTGTACAACTTGATGTCACTACACAGTGTTGGTTGTTTTTATTAATTCATTTCCAGATTGTAGTGACTGATTTCTTCCAGATATCAAGTGGAATTCAATGCAACAAAACCTCATGCATCAGTGTTCCAAATTACAGAATGGTTGCTGTCAGCCCTAGAAACTACAGAGCTGATGTCATTTCAGTTTTCCTCCACTGCTGAAGCCTGAAATCTGTTTGTTCTTTAGCGTTTTATTGGTGCACTGGTAAACAAAGATGTATAAGAAATATTCAGTAATATACATTTGTACACTTTAAAGTTGTTGAAGAGTAGTTGTAGTAGGAAGTTGTTTGTGGGAGAGGAAATACGTGTGCTGGGAAATAACTGTTCTTTTAATTTCCAAGTCAAAATGTCATGAAAACTTAGTTACTCATTCTACTGCAGGTTTTCAAAACGCAAACTGTGTGCTTTTTACTTCGTATGTGAATTAACGCATTATCTGGGAACTGGAGTGAACTAGATAAGGAAACACACTGCATTCCACTGAAGCAATTTTTGTGACTTTTTATTGCAGACATTTTCATAGGTAGATCTCGCTTTGCTGGAGAATTCCCTTGTGAGAATGAAATAATTATTATCTGCTGTCACTTTCCTCATGGGGATTGTGACTTTGGGTGCCAAATTGCTTGGTATGTGTTAAGGTAGTGTTGGTGAAGATAGGCATTTTTGAGTTATTGGTAGAAGTGAGTCAGGAGGAAAAAACACATACAGTTAAGCACAGATTGAAATAGTCCTTTTTTTTTTTTCTTCTTCTTAATTGAGAGAAACAAATATAGGTTGTCTGGCCATCTGACCTTTGACAACTTGTTGAGGATTAAATGTCTTGCTTATATCAGTGATCATAGCTCTAAATTTCTCAATCTACTGAGTGAACTATGTCCAGACAAAACTCCTCCGGCTGATTCTAGAACTTCACCACCCTTTCTCCAGCACCAAGCATAGAGATCAATGTTCCTCATTCTGGTCTCCAGCTAGACTTGCACTGTGCTCCTGATAATCATGACGAGAAGAAAGCATGTGAACATCAGATTGCCTGTAGGATGACCACTAAAGAATCGCCTCCCTGGCCACTGAAGGAATGTGCGTGTCTCATTCAGTCTTAACGTAGAGGTGCTTAAGGGTGGTTCTTGAAAAGGTCTAAATCCTACTAGAATGGGGTCTGTCTGTGAAGATATTCCAGACGAAGCAAAGCTGTTCTGCTTGCAACATGAAAGGCAGTATATTTTTGAATAACAGAACTGTCTGCTATATTATTCATGGGTTATCAGAACTGCTTCATAAGAAGATGTTGTTAGTTTTTATCACCTTGCTTGTCTTCCAGCAGATTTTGGAGATAATCAAGTATTTGTTCAGAAAGATTGCCGTTCTTTCATTTTAGAGGCTGCAAGTGTCTCCAGCTGTCTTTGTGTTTGCTTTAGCAAATCTTCCGGGGCTAATGAGCAATCAGAAATTTATTAAGCCGGGAGAAATATCAGGTCACATCACCAGCTACTATTCAACTGTAGCCGAGCAGCAATTCTGCTGAGTTGGGTGGGAAAATGGATACACCTGACTACTTTTTTCTACTGCTTTATAGGCTGTTAAATGTGAGGTATGAAGTCCTAGCTACAGATCCTTGTGGCAGAGAGGGCTTAAATCTGTGGCGAGTACTACAGGCGGCATACAGGGAATGCCTGTGACTAGTGTGTGAGTCAGGCTGAAAGTAGAGTATTTATCTTGTGAGCTGAAGGGCAGACATGTTTCTGGAGTACTGTCTGCCTCCTTGAGACTCCATTAGAAAGGCCTTGAGTATGAAACAAACGATCCTCCTAATGTTTTGGAATGAACATTTTTAAGAAAGCTGTATTTTCAAAAAAAACTACTCAACTGGAATACAGTCTTCTCATTGAAGGCATTTAAAATAGAAAGTTATTCACACTGCACATGCAGTCTCTTCTGGGGTAACTTCTATGACAGGTTTTGGAACTAGATCCTGTACCATCTACATTTTTTTAAAAAAACAGTATACCTCAGTCTGCACAGCTGTTTCAATTGTTTCTTTTTTTTTTTTTTCCCCCCCCACAGTACCCAGAGGGACCATTTGAAATACTTTGTCTTTACCTGTGAATAATTTGATAAGTGAATAGTTGTGTGGGGAAAAACACTGAACAATAATGCACTCTGCGCTAATCACTGAAACCCTTATGAACCATGATGCTACTTTAATATGTCAGTATAAAAAAATCGCTGAGAAACTTTACTTTCCAGTTATCCTTTTTTCCTTTTCAAACTGGTACTCTTGGTCTTCTGATGGCTTCAATCCACTCTGAGATCTCTGTGGGTTTTTTATGATTGTGGCTTTAAGATTTCTGACTTAATATGGAACAGATTAGTTAAGTTTTGGAAGAATTAAGAGGAAGGGAGGGTTTGCTGTCATTCCTAACATGAATGTGACTTGATTTCAATATCCTTACAATGTTGATAAGTGTACTCACATCCATGAGTTGTTCATTGGGCAACCTGGTATTTTATTTTTCACAAATAAATTGTGGTGGTTGTACCAAACAATATAGAAGAGAATATAAACAATTTTGACTGAATTTTTGTACGTGTAGGACATCAAAGGAAGTCAAAGAATAATGAATTTTTCCATTGTAGACTACCTGCCAAATTTCTCATACCAGTTCTGTATGGATAATTATAATGGTAAGGTTTTTAACCTTAAGCATGCTCTTCCCCCTTTGTGACAGATGGCAAAGCAAGAATGTGATTTTTGGAAGATCATGTTCGGGTATGCCTAATTCTGTAGAAAGCTTGACCAGTTATGGCAGTCTTGTATGTGTAGATTCTGTAGCAGCTTCAGGTGATTCATACACTAGCAGATGCTTTCTTGTGCACTTAACACCATAACAGAGTCTTTAAACCCTTTTCACGTAACATGGTATTACATTCGTTTTATGGAATGGGTTACAAATTTCTTTGATTTTCTATGTGATAAATAATTTCATATGAAAATGTGTAACATTTGGGTAATCTGAATGAATGGGCATGTATATACTTTGGACTGTTGCAGTTCTGGCACATTCAGGGAAACGGGAAGGAATTGTGGCAGGAATCATTCCCTAGTGTGGTGCTGTCACTTTTGTATTGTTCGTAATCTATTCAGGCTTCTACTGACAAACTCACTAAGGTTAAAAGGGCTGTATTTCACCTGAGCTACCATTGTTTGCAGCTTCACACAGATAGTACCTTCCCAGTTTTTGCAAATGTGGGTGGCTGCCTGTGTGCGAAGGGAGGAACCTTCCTCCAGGTGGGCTCCTCTGAGATCTGCCTCAGATCTCAACCTCTACAGTGTGACTAGGCTGTGCCATTCAACCTGATCCATTGAAACCCAGAGAACTAATACTTAAGTCCTGGAGGCTAAAACGGGACTGAAACTAGCCTGTTCTAATATAAATGGGTGACAGGCTGAGATTGGCAATTACTTCAAAGGCTGGATTCTTGACACGCAAAGCCTTGTTGGCAGCTTTAGTTATTAACATATTTTCTACTACAAATTATGCATGGTCTCTTTACGGGTATCAGACAGTCTTTACTGATGTAGGTCAGAAGCTTAGTCACTGACATGCTATCACCTCGATAAATACGCTTAGAAGCATCTAAGCAAAACAATCATTTGTTCATATTGGTTAAATAGTAGTAGGCGTCGTAATTCTGTTAAACTGACAAAGCTCAACTACCATACTGAACAGGCCATAAGCCTGACAATCCCTTAAATCAGTTTCTAGACATCACATTTCTAAATTTGGTCACTTACCCACAGTCATTTTGTTTCCAAAATCTGAATAAAATGTACCACTCTGTTTTCAAAAGTGTTAATGGAAACAACCAACATATGTATAAAATTGTGGCTTAATTTTTTGATGAGTTACATATCAAAGTTGTGTTTCCTCCCGGGTGTCTTGTCCCACTGTATTGCAGAAGCTGTCTTTTCGGCTAGGTGCGGTATTTGGAACATAAGACAATGGATCAGGTCGGATCAAGTATCTACAAAAAGAAATTATTAACTCTTATTAAAAAGACTTGATGTGAGCAAGGATAAAATAAGTGCATACAGTTGTAATGTTGAAAAGAGCTGAGGAAGACTTATTTTGAAGGTGCTTAGTCTAGTTCCTGTTAGGTAACTTGGACACTTCGGTAACATCACTCACTTTAGATGCTAATAATAAAGCTTTTCACATTTTGTCTCCCTAGACATCATCTGTATGTACTAGGCACAGCTAAACCTTAATTTTGACTGACAACTCCTTTGCCAGTAACTCTGTTTCTTTATGCATCTCCTTTATTCATTATGCCTTAAAGAAGGGACATGCAGTCCACGAAGTCATTTCTAAAAGAATTTTGTGAGGAAAAGGATAATTCTTGTCACTGTGCTCAATAAATAAAAAGCCTGAGGCTGATAATCTTGGTGTAGGCTGACAGTCTGGAGATGGACCCTTATTCTAAGAACCAGTAGATTTGAATACTTGAGGAAATGCCTCATGAGTTTGAATCTAAGTTTGAGATGTTTAAAGTAACTGCTTTTCTTAGGATAAGGATGGAATAGCTTCCCATTGATTTGTAAGTGTAAATTCTGCACTGTTTCGTCTACTGTCTCAAGTGACAAGCTATCTCATCTGAGATAGCTTTTGGCACTGATGCAGCAGCAGCTTTGTGCTGCTGCAGAACTAACATTTCGGTGCTCTGTGCTTCCAGCACAACTGTGCTGCTAAAGAGAAGACAGACAACTCTCTCTCACATACTCAGCTATCTTGGTGCCACGTGTCTGTCCATCTCCTCATCAGACAACTGAAAACGCTTAAATATCCAAATAGAGATTGTGTGCATGCTGTGTAGTACTTATAAAGATTTGCTGTATTACTTTCCAGTGGCCTTGACGTTTCTGTTTTTACAGGCCACGAACTTCTACCATTCATTTTAATAAGTATGTTTTGCCCCAGACTTTGTTAAAACACCCTGAAAAATTCTTCAACAAAAGGCAAAATGGAAAATCCTGATTAACTGAACTAACATGTTCTGTAAATGTACGAGCAATCGCTGTCAAATTTCCCACAGAACTACTGTATCTGTTTTCAGCTCACCTAGTTACCGACCATTCATGGCTCCTCAAAGCATGGGCTTCTGTGTCTGTGGGGCATTGGTGGTTTTATGGTAGATAGCCAAGAGAATCGGCTGACCTCCATGATTTGGAAACACTGCCTGCCTCTGTTACTTTGTTAATGTTTCCCCTCCTCACAGGACTAAAATGGACTAGCAGCGTTTTCCCCCTCTCAGAGAGTTTGTTGCTACAAATAGCCTGAATGTATTTGTGTAAGAAAGCATTTGACTTAAATATAGGATTGAAAATCTACTGTTCCTATCTAAATCATATTCTCTCGGTATCTATTTGTTTAAAAGTCACACTTTTTACTCTCTATTTATAACATCCGATATTTGTGTTTACTTCAGAACAACCTATTTATTTTGCTGATCCAGCCAATGAAACTGAGGAGCAGAGGAAGAGTCTGCTCTATTCTGTTTGTCAATCCAAACGAAGCATGTTTAAACGTATGAAAGAAAAAAAAAATCTTAGTTTTTCTTGCTTGATCTTGCCCCCCTCCTGCCTCACCAGGAATAGGTTTTCTTAGATTTGGGGGGAGAATTCAGGTGTTTCTAGGCTAAACAAAAGGTTTGTACCTGAAATACGTAGTTTACAAATTCTAAATCACAAATAATTGATAAAACCTTGAGGCCCTAGCAGTTGTTTATAACTGGCCTGATGTCAACGCTGCCAAATCTCAGTGGTCACCTTCCTCCCTTAGGCGTGTCTGGAGCAGTCCTGCATAAGCAATTCCTATGTGTGATCTCTGGATGTTACTGCAGATTGCTGAAATTTGGAACTCCCAATTGCAACTTTTGGAACTGAAACTGCAGCTCTGAATTTGATGTTTTTATAGGGCATCAGCAACACCAACCCCAGAGCAAGTAAGGAGAGTATTAATCTCTAGAAAAACAAAACAAAACATGTCAAAGGAACAAACAACCAGTAGTGGGGTTTATTTTTGGAACCCAGTATTTAGTATCTCTCTTGACAGTTCAAATTTATGTTCACTTTTTTCTCTTTTTTTCATGTAGTCTGCAAAATTCATGGTAAGCAAGTGAAAAAACTTCCTGTGTTAAGGTCCTCCCATTTGTATTTGAATTGTCTTAAGCATGCGTATCCCATGCTATTCAGGGGAAGACTGCTGGTTGCTTTAATGATCTTTGCATACATGTAATAAAATCCCATTTGAAAATACTGATTTTGAAGTGTTGATCTTTCTATTAAGACTGGGTAGCTAAACTATAAGTAAGTATTTAATGAGAATATTTATTGTGAAGTTGTCCAGCAGACCTGGTTAGATTATTTTCTAAATACACAGAGTAAGAGGAGGATGAAAGAATATGGGGTATGTATTAGATATTTATACGTGTATTTTAAATTCATACACATATATAAGTATAATTAGGTGTCTATTTAAATAGAAGTCTCCATATAAATTTTTTATTTTTTGCAGATGTATGGGTAAGTTTGGGGGTCTTCTATAGCAGAAAGATAATAAAATAAATTCAGGCAGGAAGTGCAAACAAGAAATTTTGCAGGTCTTGTGAATTTTTGTTTGTTTGTTTTTGTGCTTTAACTTACACTATGTCATTCAGCTCTAATCTTGTATCTGGAGAAGGATTGATCAGGATGTAAGAAAGGGTGTTCTGGTGATCATTCATTTCATCTAGAGAACAAAAAAAAAAAAACCAACATACCAAATTAATTACATTTACATACAAATTATGAAAAGTATGACTTCTGACAAACTAATTTGACAGCTGTCAAAAAGTGTCAGGTGTCAAAGTGATTTCAAATAAGTTTAGCAAATTCTTTTCAACTCTACTTGAATTGGAACTATCTGATGTAGCATCTTTTGAGTTATCAGCTCTCAAAATATCCTGTTTTCTTTCTGAATGTTCTAAAAATGTTCTTTTGCAAATTTCAATCATAGCAATTCTGAATGCAACCTGATTTTAGTGTAATTCACCAATCTGTCATGTGGCTTATGTTAGTATGTGGGAAACAGAGACTTCTGTCCTCAGCTGACATTGAGTTCAAGTGATAAGCAAGGTTAAATGTGGGTGTGTGGCATTCTCATCCATTTCCAGATTTGGTCAATATAAACCTTTTTGCCGTTTCCCTGTTTATCTAGTAAGCCTTTTCCTTTTATCACCTGTGCCAATGGGTTGAAATGTGAATGCTGTATAAATGGAAATTGGTATTTCTTTCATGCATTTTAAACTATTCTTCTAATGGTATGTTGCAAATGAAGGCTGACAACTTATTTTTTTTAAGGTTTTTGCCTAGTCGAGTCTCGCTACACTTTTGTAGCTGTCATTACAGTATTGTTTTTAAAGCTTTTCCTTAGTACATTTCCTAGGGTGCTGTAGCGATACAAGCTTTAATTTGATAGGACTAAAATGGAGAGTCATTGCTTTGGTGTTAATGTCTCCCCTCAGCATTTTAGGGAAGAAGATGTGAAAGACAACGGCCCCATTCTAGTTTCAACGTAATTCCTAAATTCTTTGGTAATGAGGTATTCTTGATACACTGTCTGTAGGTTAAAAAATCACTATACTGGGTATTTTCTAGCATGTGTAATTTTTCTATATGCTTGTACAACATATTTGCACCACCTTCTTGTACTTCTGCCTAGAAAGTTAGATAGCTCACATAGGCTCTTAGTATAGATGCAATTAATACAGCTAAAATGGTGTTTTACCACACCATTACAACAGCTTATTTCTGTAAGGTGAAACTGATGCAAAACATTGTAACTAGTTATACAAGCACCTGTACCACCATGCTGACATCACACTTATGCTAGAGTCTTGCATAGTCACAATTGTGTTGACTCTCAGTTGGCTTAAATGAATTCACAGTTAATTGAATTTAGATGTGGAGGTCTTGGAGGTTATTAGTTTATCAATGTGAAAAGGACATTGATGTGAAATTAGCTTTAGAGATTATCCCCATACATGGAGATACATAAGAAGCTGTGATTTTTGTTTCCTGTTTGTTTGGTTGGTTTTTTTTTAATTATTCCCCGCACACAGAGAGAAATAGTACTAAAGGAGTGCATTTAACTTGTGCAGGGAGCTAACTGGCATGATTGATTCCTGTTAGTTTGAAAGAACAGGGAGATTTAAAAGTTTCTGTTCCATGTTTAATATGTAGTGGGATGAGTGGGGAGTGACTAGCTCTGAAGAACGGTGAAAGGCTTCTGAAATTTCTTTCTGAATGTGAGGGAGGGTAGAGAGACGTCATTGGGAATGTGACAACCCAGGTTTGCAGCTGACTGCACGTGTAAAACTGGTTTGGGGTTTGGAGGGTTTTTTTAGTTGTTTTGTGGGTTGTTTTTTTTCAGAACGTGGGTGTTCTTTGGCTTGTAAAAGTAGAATCTTTCTTTATAATGAGGTGCATCTGTAAGAAAATAGGGAAGTGATCATGAACATTTATAAATCAGATTCAAGGCAGATAAATGTAACCAGGTGAAGTATTTACCTATCAAGATTTTGCTGTTCTGCAGATGGTATATAATCTTTCTAAATTCAAACAATTAAATGTTCATTTACTGTAGGCTTTTAACTAGGATTTTAAAAGAAAAGTAGGAATATAACAAACTTTTTTTCTTGTTACTAGTATAAACATGAATCAAATTTACAAAACTTCTTTGTGGTTGACCAAATGTTATTCTGGCCTCTGTCACTTCTGGAAAATATTTAGTCCTGAATCTTTCTCCAGAGAATCATACAGTATCCATGAAGAAAGCAGGATTAGTAATTACTAGTTGGGAGTGTGGGATAAAGAGCTTGTATTCACATACCTAGTTTGTAAAGATTGAGCAAAATTATAACCATGTATTCTGTAGCAGCCTTCTCTCACAATTAAGTTGATTTTGTATCAATAGCAACATAAGAACTACCCTTGGTAGTATATTGCTACTGATGTCAAAAGAGGTTTTGACCCTGCATTAAGAACGTGTGTGGTTAAAATGGGGAAATAAAAATATCCATTCTGCAGGAAATATCACATTTACCTTCAGTTAATGGATATTTTAGGAATAAGTTAAACTTAAAAATAAGTGTGTTGAAAAATCACAGAATACCAGGCTGGAAGGGACATCAAGGATCATCTAGTCCAACCTTTCAAGGTAAAAATACAGTTTAAATGATATGACCCAGCACGCTTTAACCTGAGTCTTAAAACTGTCCAATGTATGGGTATCCAGCACTTCACTTGGGAGATTATTCCAATGTCTAACTGTCCTCATGGTGAAAAAGTTTATTCTGGAGCCCAACTGGAATCTCTCCAGGAGTTACTTGTATCCATTACCCCTTGTAAATAATTCTTTGTGCATTAAGATCAGAAAGGATATTAATTAAAATAGGAATAAAAACTCATGTTCCACTTTTGATACTTGTTACGCTCTCATTGACATGCTGCTTGAGTACAATGGTGAAACCTTGAATGAAAGTGCAGACTAGAAAAGACTATACTTTCCTTCCTTATGTTTTTACATAAATCCATTAACTGCAAAGAAAATAGATTTGATTTAGAAGTACTGATCTAAATAAACCTATGGTTTCATCATGTTATGTAATGCTGATTATCTGAACATCTTTTTCATTCTAAATGAATTAACTGAATGCCAGAGGACTAAAACTATGAGAGTTGCACAGAAATCCTTCAAACTGTGGCAGAATTGCACCTTTTAACAGTACTCTTTGCAGTTGGGTGCCTGGCTTCCTTGCCACTGCTTGCACTTTGCTTACAGTTTACAGGCCTGTTTTGATGGGCTTTAATGCCATGAACAGTGCAGGTTTTAGTCAAGTATTCCTGACATTGATATTATGAGTTAAATACATGATGGCTATGAAACAATCTATCGGACATTCAATGAACCGGAAGACTATCCAGTCCTAACATGGTAGACATATGGTGGGAATCCACTGTTGAGAAGTACAGCATTTAGCATGCTATTGGAAGCTCGAGATGGGATACTTGGTTTGTGGAGGAGGGAACAAATTAAGCAGTATACAATGAAGAAAATGAAGAGTGACACATTTGTAAAACAGTATGTTTTGGATTCCTCAAATGAAAATTGAGCATGAGATCCCCAGTGCTGGTGCTTCTGACACAGAAAGCACTAAGCTCCAGATTGGACCTACTGCAGACAAATAAGTTGGGATGTAGAAACTCTTAGTGTTTCTAAGAAAACTAGAACCCATAACTCTGGGGGTTTCCACACAACACAGTATAGAGCCAAGGCTGTAGAAAAGCAACCCAGGCAGCTGTGGTGCATATATCAAAAAGAGTTTAAAAAAAAAAAAAAAGGCAACCAAACATCAGCCTGGCTGGAGAAGGACTTGATGTACAAAAATGGCATCTAAAGACCTAGTGAAACATGCTCCATAAAAATTACTTTAATGTGACACTTCGGCACTAATTTTAAAAATTGTGGGGAAAATGCAATATCCTTCACATATAAACAACTTCCACCTTGACATATGCGTGAACTTCAAGACAGTTTTGTCTTCATCTATATTTCAACAAGTTTGTGGAAATAAGGTACAGCTGTTCAATGACAGGGGAATGTTTATATATTCTGCATACACATATCACCTGTGCTAACTATAAACGTGACTGACATGCTGCCTTCTGAGTTTTGCATCTGAAAATAGGAATGGGTGATAATATAACTGATTAAAAAGACTCCAAGTTTCTCTCAGTAAAAAGAAAAAACCAAACCAAAACCATTATCATAAAGTTAATATTTTGTTGATGGCACCCTCAGTTCTTAAAAATAAATTTATCTTGCATAATATGAATGTTTTTATTTATTATTAATAAGTGTTATGTTAATTATACCGTATCCTGCTGGAGAAAGGCCCAGGTGCTTCATTCTGTTTTTGACAAGTTCAGCAAGCTCCTGTCTTTCTGACCTCCTGTAAAGGTTCATTCGCTGCTGGTTTATCTTCTCAGCTGTTTTACCAGAGTGTCTTGGTACTCTTCTGCTCAGCCGCCGGGCCCACTGCATGCTTTTTCGGCGTAACAAGGGATGATCAGACTGATCACTAGATGTTGAGTTACGATGATTACTACGATAACTAATTTGTTCTTTGGTGTCTTTAGTGTCTTCCCATTCTTCCACACTGATAGAGATTTGAGACTTGAAAGGAAAATGACAAGAGAGATTAAGGGCTTTAAAAAATGGAAGCGAATTAAGATGTTCTCTTTTCAACAGTGCAGTTGAACATGTGTTTTGGTTGCAATGGAGCTGAGAAGATTCAGCTGTTCATACCTAGAAAGTGTTCCTGAATTGGGCATCCTTTACTGGACTTTGACTTTTTATGTAAAAAGCTCATTTATGGTATAAACACATTTCTGAAGTGCAGAAGCAGTTAAGATTATTTAGTGCCTGTTTCCATTTTGATTCTGACAAGAACAACTCTAGCTTTCTGATATTGCCTTTCTTGAATCTAGGAGTCTGTTCTGAATGACTTTGCTTTCTTCCAAATTTGCCTATTTTTAGAGATTCAAGTTCTGTAACTGATTTTTAGATGTATGTCGTGGATTCATTAAGTAATATTTCAACTTTGGCTGTACCATTTTGTGTGCTCTTTTAAGAACACAGGCAGAACGTGCCTGTTGCCGGTGTCTCAAGTTCTAAGGCATTTTTGACCTTCCAGCACATATCTGGCATGTGTCTGTGTCTGAAAGTAGGGACATACGTAGCAGCTGTTAGTGTGATTCAGGGCAACTCTTGCAAACAAGGTAAGTAATTCCTACCTTAAAGCATAGTGATGTCCATTTTTCACTCATATAGTAACAAAAAAAAAGCAGACTTAAGAGCCAAAATCTGTCTGCCTATTGCTGTGTTTTGTTCATGCTACTCAAGCGTGACCAATATACCAGTATACGCACACAGTGGTACTGAAATAACTCAAGGGGATGGGCTTCATATGAAGTTCTAACATACAAAAAGATCATAGGGAATATTAGAACAACTTTTAAGTTATCTTTTGAAATATTTCAAATATTTTATGCCTATTTTACATTTAACTAATTTTTAGCTTCTAGTTTCAAACTACTTGTAATCCTGAGTTATTCTTGTAATCTTTGAAACATGACTTCTACTGTCATTGAAATAGAGAAGACCTCTCTGGTATCAGTGCAGTCATATTACCAAGTTAGTGGTGACTGATTTCAGTGTGTTGAGTGTTTAAAATGAATAAACAATCAACCAAAGATGACTTAGAATGGAGCTGGCTCAGTTTGTATGAATCCCCAAGAACAGAAAGAGTTCACAATATGCTGGAACTGATCAGTGAATAAAGCAAATTCAACTGAAAAAGGTCTGTTCCCATTAGTGTAAATTCTGAAAGCAAGATTCTGTTGACCTCATCAGTGTTGAATACAACCTTTCTTTAAGAGGCTTACCACCCTGTCCCACACAGAATCTGTAAGGTTCCTGGAGTCCATAAAATAATATTTGATATAAGTCTGACAGTGTGAGAAAGATACTAATTTTTTCCCTTTTGCACAGACTAGCTTTTATATGTGTAAGAAAGCCCAAACAAACATCAAAACAATCAAAACCAATAATTAAAAAGAACAATAAATATGCTTATGTTGTAGTAAAATCACATTTCTAATATTCTAGACTAGGATCTTGCAATAAGCCTGATGCAAAGACCTAATTTATTGAGGCTCTTCAGCTTAGTCTTCATTGGAAAGGTTGCGGTTGGTTGGTTTTGGTTTGTTGTTTGGGTTTGTTTTTTTTTTTTTCTTTTTTTCAAAAAATTACCTGATTTTTGAAATTTTGTTACTGACTTGGATAATGTTATTTTGAGTAGAACATAAGAGAACCCTGAATCCCTGCGTACAGGAATGCTATTTGATTTTTTTGTTGTTTGTTATTTTAAATCGACATTTTGGGTTTGCATGTATTTTAGAGTACAGCTTAAGGTAAGCAGAGTACATTCTACATGATATGGTGCTACGTATGATGGGAAGGGTCTATTTGGTGTGAACAAACCTGACACAAACAGAGTATGAAGGATGGTCTTGTTTTGCTTTTCTTCCTGTCTGCATTGGTAGCTTTCCTGGTCCAAGTTTTGATAAAACAGCTATCTGGACTTGCTGGCAGTAGTACTGGGAAGGCAGAGACCAATTGTCCATATTATTACAGGAGGGCAATTCCCTTTTTTTTGAGCCAGAAAATAAGCAGGAGAGGCCTGATAGAGTTAAATTATGGGGCTATGTTTTTGATTTGTGCTGAAAACAGCGTTGATAACTCGTGGAAGTGTTTGTTACTGCTGAGCAGTGCTTACACAGAGCCAAGGCCTTTTCTGCTTCTCACACCACCCCACCAGCAAGGTAGGCTGGGGGCGCACAAGAAGTTGGGAGGGGACACAGCTGGGACAGCTGACCCCAGCTGACCAAAGGGATATCCCAGACCATATGGTGTCACGCCCAGCATATAAAGCAGGGGATGTTTGGAGTGATGGTGCTTGTCTGCCCAAGTACGTGTGATGGAGCCCTGCTTTCCTGGGGATGGCTGAACACCTGCCTGCCAACGGGAAGTGGTGAATGAATTCCTTGTTTTGTTTTGCTTGTGCACACAGCTTTTGTTTTATCTATTAAATTGTTTTTATCTCAACCCCCGAGTTATCTTACTTCTACCCTTCAATCCTCTCCCCCATCCCACTGTCAGGGAGTGAGCAAGCAGCTGTGTGGTGCTTACTGCCTACCGGGCTTCAACTATGACACCCAGAAACAGGCAGACAATAAGCAAATACTTACTTGTGAAGCCATATCTCGAGACTGACAAAGGAAGGGGAAAAAGAAGACAAAAGACAATTTAAACAGAAGTGATTCTAAAGAAACAAACATGGACTGTTTAACAGGAACCACAGAAAATCAGCTACACAGGTAGTAAGGAAGGCTTCATATCTTTTTTTTTTATGAAATGGAAATGGTGTGAGTCATAGGTGCAGGTCATTAAGAGGCAGGCTAGATTTGCTTGTTATTTAGTAACAAGATCACTGAAAACTTGCTTTCTTTCTAAAGGAATTATATATACATATCTCAGGTGAGGGCTTCTCATTTGCATAGCACAGAAAAGGGTGTCAAAGGGGAAATCGTACATATAGAAATATTAATGTTGGCATATTTTGTTCTTGTGGCTCAAGTTAGTTAATGGTTAACTGACAGCTTTCAGGTGTGTGCAATACAAATTAAGTTTTATATGTCTGTTTAAACTCCAACTGATAAACACATTGGAGGTTCTCTGAGATGGAAACCTTCAAATTATGGTTAGACGTTCGTAATTCCTGAGAAAAAGAGCAAATTGCATTTCTCTAACCTCCATTTTAAAGATCTCATCCAGAATATTTTAAAGTTATTTCTGATTTAATATATTGAAAAATTGATAAAATTATAACCCACACTAATATTATTTTCTTAGTGAAATTAGCAAAAAATTGCTTTAACTTCAAAAGAAACACTTTGTGGAAGGATTACAGCTTTTCTGCATTTGTAGGTATCTACCCATAAAGACCACAGAAGCAGAGCTAGATGTTGCTTTTTTGTATTCTGGGGAAGAGCTAGGTTAGGGAAGATTCCCCTGCCCCTCTCTGGAGGGGGAAGGGTTTCACAAATGTTTACCCACTACACAAGAAACTCCTGGAGTATTTAAGAGTGAAAATACCACCGGGGGTCTGCATTCAGAGCCTTGAGCTTTTTAAAGAGTAACAAATGCTTTTACTTAATAAACACAGTGCCACTCTTTCACACTAGTCCAGTACCTGACAATTTGGAAACCTAACTAGGAGATTTCCCTGCCTGGCCCCCACCCCAGCCTCTTCTTCCTCTACCTGATTTAACTCAAACTGTTCACGAGATTACCTGTGCAGGCTGGTAGGAACTAATAGCATAACTCCTCTTATCTATTGGACAGTTCCAGCCTGGTTTCAGTGCCTGAATCTTTTAAGAAATTGCTCTTTGTAAAAGATAATCAATAACTCTCTTAAACTAAATCTGGGCCTGGTCTGATCAAGTGTTCAAGCACTTGAGCAGCTGCATGTGCACAGGCTCCAGAGGTTCCCAATGTTATGGTAAAATTGTGAGTTTAGAGTCTGATGGTCCCAAACCTTGTTGTCAGAAAAACATGTGAAAGATCTTTAATTTATCAGTTAGGCTTGCCTCAGAAGACTTATTGGAATGTCTATGCTTACCCCCCACCGCCCTGCCAAAACCAACCCCACGTTCATGTAGAAAAGATGAGTGTTAGTCTTACAGTTACCCCTTCCCTCTACAGATGTTGTTTGCCAGTCAGCCTGTATGTTTGAAAGCATCTGAAAATGCAGAACAGAGGAAAAAAAAAAAGAAAACCACCAAAATGCACTGTCACAGTATATTGTATGCTTACAGTTCAACTGTTCCTGATTCTCTTTTTTTTTTTGGACTCGAAGTTAAATAGCCAGCTGTGAATGTGGGAATAAGGCATTGCCATGAATTTTATCTTCCTTACCCTTATTTAATGAATTATTAAAATCTGGCATGTCCTCTGTTTTGTTGAAAGCTATGACAGGCTTTTTTTTTATATTAGCAGTGATGCTGCCTATGTTCTTCTCCAAGGAATAATTTTGATGGATTATGTTAATGCTGATATATTTTAAAAAATCAGCTGACATTTTTGCAGTAGCACAGTCCACTGACTAAGCTATAAAAGCCACCTGTAGAGGTATTGGTGGTCCAATAGAGAGACACTAGTGAACTTGGTGGAATCTCACATAGCTTTTTGTAACACTTGTTTTTAAATAAACTTTAAGTGCACGTTTGTACTTCCTTCAAGATAAATCTCATAGTTAAGCATTACATGGCTTAATGTTTTATAACATTTTTCTGAAATATGGAAGAGAAAATACAAATTCTCTGTCTTGGAAGTCAGTAAACTATGCTTGAGTATTTCAGAAGAAAGGAGAAAGTTGTTCACTGTTGCATTTTAGAGCTGTATTTGAGCGATGGTTTAATGAGATGGCAGCATTAATGGTCACACAAAAAAATGGCTTATACATGACAGAAATAAAAGCTGCACAAACAAAAAAACGTATGTTAAGTAGTCAGGAAAAAGTATTTTTGTCATTCTTTAAATTCCTCCCTATAGATATATAAATATTTACATGTCTGCCACATAAATATTTATATACGAAAAATTACCACTGTTTGGCTGCTAAATTTAGAGAAACCCCACAATACTTCTAATAACGTTCATTTATTCTTTTATTGCTCATTCCTGGTTAGAAGTTCATATGAATATGAAAATACCATCTGTTTTGAGATACAGTGTTGACATTCTTGTCACACCTGATACAGGACCTGGTTTTATACAGCTTGTGGTGGATACTGCCATTTGTCACCACATGCAAGTTCAGACTAGAGCTATCCTAGCCTGTCCTATCTGCGCCTGAGCTGCCCCATTTTCAATCAGTTGGCTCTGTGTAGGTGAGCACAGGAACGAAAGCCGGTATGTAGACTGGGTCTTGGGTATTCATGAAGTCTGGGTCTGTATGTGAGTCCTGAGTTAATGTGACCGTATACATGTCAGCAGAGGGAAACCTTCAGTGGGTTGTTGAAATTATGTGCATTTGCAGATGTGGTATTCATAATATTCTTTAAATAAGTGGTTTCCATTCTTATGAGGACCAAAGAACGTTGTATACTCTGTAATCAAATCCAAAGAAAAGTACAATAAGCTGACATACCTCAGAAGTTGTAAGCTTTTGGGATTCTGTCCTATAGACTCCAATTGGAATGTCTCCTGTAGAAGAACAAAGTTTCTGATATAGTCTGGCATATGTCCTAATCCATAGATCCTCTTCTGTGATTTTCATCTGAACAAATAATGATAGGAATGAGGACTTTTAACTCTTGAGGGCTTATCACTTGTTCACTATACTACTATTGAAATTTTTTGAAAACTGAACACTAGCTGCTAATGATCATCTTGTAGTATTGCACTTGTGCTCTACAGAAAATCTGGAACTTCTGTTGAGTTTGTAGACTTTCTTTTGTTTTCTCCCTGATTGGGAGACATTGCAGTGCAAATGGTTCAGTCTTACGAAATTACTTTTGTTCTTGTTTTAAAATTACATTAAAAATTATATGGTATCTTTCAGCTAGTGTTCATATCTGACTAAAATATAAAAGAATGAACTAAATATTGGCAGCAGCAAGAAACTGGTGATGGACAGACTGAAGAACGCACAATTATTTTGAACGCAGTCAGATAACTGTTCACAAGACTGCAAGCTGAATATTCAGGGAGAAGAGAGTCGGGGGGCAAGCAATACACTAAGCATGAACGGTATAAGACTTAAATTAATCTCAAATATTTCATTAATATTACACTAGCTTTATTTCAAGATATGTGAGCTGCTTTTCAACAATTCAACTATCTTGCATTCACTGTAACAAAGCTTATTGATTGACCAACTAATCCACAATTGGTTTTTCTTTAAACAACTTTCTTAAACCATCATTGATAACTTCCTTTTTGAGAACATCTTGCAACTCTTTATAGTTCCCCAGAAAGCGACTGGTAAATAACTCAACTTCTATTTATCTGTTTGCTACCTGGAGTGTGATGGATGTGGGAGAAAACAGAAATGTGGGGTTTATTTCTGATAAAAAATAATTTTTTATGTTTTTTTTTAATGTACATGTGTGTGTGTATATACATATAAATAGATATAAAAATAAACTCTATATGGTGGAATATTGACATATATAATAACAAGATGACTTTTGAACTTTGACACCTAAAGTCGTTTAATACATCTTATTTTTACATTCTGCCTTTTATGGACTGTGATGTAAACGGGTGTTGTGAAAAGCATTGTCTGTAAGCGCTAGCCAGGTTGCACAACATAGGTAGTGCTTCCTGGTTTTTATAGACTCCGTTTTAAAAATTGGTTGCTGAACTGCCATTGTGGTTTCATATAAAATGCATTTTCCCTGTGTTTTCTTGTCTTTCCTATTTTTCTTTGTGCTTTATAGAATGTATTGTGTTTTCTTGGGGTGGGGGAGTGTTTTTTGCTATGACAGCAACTAAAAATGGATATATTTTCTATCTAGTTTTCCTGTCTTCACCCCTGGTGAAAAGGGACACAGATGGCCTTTCTTGGACTTTCACAAAAGGCAGCGCTGTACAAAGAAAGTAGAGGTATTTTGCAGACAGTACAGAATCTTCTCTGGTACTCTGTAACTTTTTTTTTTTCTTTTTTTTTTTTTTTTTTTTTAAATAACTTACAGAACAAAGAAACCCAGATCCTGGTGTGGTATCAAGTCCCAGCAGAAGCCTTGTGATAGAAATCATATAGTCTTTCACAAATGACTGCAAGATTTTTAACAGGAGAGACAGAAAAGAAAGAAAAAAGCTTTAATGAACAGATGAGCAGGCAACACTTAGCACCATGTGTGCATTTCAAATAAATTTTACATCTATGTTTACAGTCAACTTCTTTATCTTTTAAGTATCTTAATCACTGTAGAAACAGCTATCCCTTTCTTTGTGCTGAATCTACTTACACAAAATAAGTTTTCTTATTTGGTTCTGCATATGCATGCAATGTACATAGAGGATTCAAAGAGACTAAAGTGTAATAATGCACCGTGAAAGCAAAGATGAATGTAGATGTAAGATCAATGGAAGTAAGGTGATAGCCTTATTAGGTGTGAAATGATAATAATGACCTCTTCTGTGCAAAAGAAATGCTGTTGTATGCTAGATGGGTTGGCAGCACTGAGTAGTGGGTAATACTAAGGTGAGACTGCTATTATTTTAATTCAAACAAGTCATTTGCCTTCCAATGCATCTATTTTTTTAAGGGTTGACCTGCCTTATCTCAGGTCAGGCTTGTTGCTCTGCTAACAGAAGTGTTTTGCTGATTGGTTAAAAGGTGAAATTAGGCGAAATGTAGAAGTGGAGGCTAAGACTGGGAACAGACATCAGGTCAGCTAAAATGACAAATATTTCTGCTCCTTATGAGTTGGGCTGTTGGACTCAGAGGGCCTTGTGGGTGCTTTGCTGACTGTGGTAGGACTGTTCATTGCCACCTCTTCTTAGGTGTAGCAAGGCAGCACTCACAGCAGGCCATCAGTCCTTGCTGGAACACAACTTGCAATTAGCTCTTTTCGCTTAATGCAAATAGGGAGCTAGCAAACAGGTTTTAATAAAGAAACACCTTAAAAAGGTGTTATATGAACCCCTTAGAGTTACAGCATCTGAACTTGTTTAAACTCAGAAGCTAGCAAATAGGATTTAATTTCATACATAGTGATCCAACTATTTTAATTTTGGTACTGGTAATCTTCCAGTTGTGATGGGCTAATGCCAACAAGCATCTTTTTGAAAAGAAAAATTTTTTTCTAACTTATTTGTTATTTTGGCTGCATCATTTATGCTATGGAATTATCATTAAACTACCAAGTGTATTCACAAGGATTTGCTAGACCAAGTTTTCATTTTTCAGTCAGTGTCCTAAAAATAATTTGAAAGCTTTTCTTTGAGCCTGAAATGGGAAGCACCAGAGGAACTGTGCTTTTTTCACATCATTTACTCTGTTCCTTATGTGCAGAAAAAAAAGATGAAAAAGGACAGAGAGAACTTACTGTCATAGTACTTGTAACTTGGAATAGAAAGATAATTCTAGAAAAATGACAGTATACTTGAGCAGTAGGAGTCCAAAGAAAGAATGGGTGAAATTTGAGTGAGAATGTGTGGGGTTTTTTTGTTTTAAACACTTCATGGTGAATGGTTTTACTCTGTCAAGTCATAGCATGACTGCTCATGTCTAGGAGCAAATATAAAATACTGAAGTTACTTATGTGCTGGCAGGAGTTGTTGATAAAGACAGATCTGTTTCTACATAGGTGTTCTAATCTACTTTAAAAAAAACCTTTGCCATATGTGATGTTGATATTCTACAACATGATTAAAAACATGTTTTATAAGATAATACAATTATTTCTAAAACATCTAGAATTTGATAAATGGCTCTATATCTGTTGGCTTATCTGCTTTTGGTACCTGTCCATTTACATGACTTTTATATATTAATGACTTTCTGAGAAAAGCTTAGCTCCAGGCATTTTTCTATTTACCTCAAATTTGCCTTCAGGGAATTTATCTGGAAGTAGAATTGAGACGAGAGAACACCTTTCATGCACCAAATTACAAAGTAAATTCATTTCCCTGAAAGAATGTTTAGTGCCTGAATACAGAAGCATCCACAGATTACCTCTAGGTATAGGCAAAGTAGGTAGCTCTTTAGGTAAGCAGGCTACCTGGGCCATGGCGTTGTTGTTGCTTGTTCTGCATAGCAAGATCCTTGAAGGCCAGTGCTGGGAGCTGCTGCTTGGGCATCCCGATGTATCAGGGTGTGCAGAAAGGCAGCCACTGCTGAGGAGCAAGGGCAGTATTCTCCACTTTTCCCACCCTGAAACCAGCAACTACTACCTCCATTTGTCCTGACTCCATGTTTTCTGATGTATTGTTTCTTCAACTGTCTGAGGCTGTTGCCCTTCCCTTATCCCCACCGCCATAACTTCTTTTTTGCATGAGGAGCCCTGTCCTGGGTTCTTGGGCAGCAACGTTCAGCGCTGCCTTTTCTTCCCCTGTCTCTTTGCAACTACTGCATATGTTTCTTCATAGGGCCAGAATGGGTTACTTTAATATATGGAGATCTAGTCGGCCAACACAACAAAGTAATTCAAGCCTCCATCAGCAAATGCAGATGACTGAGATATTACTCATAAAGGTAATTATGTTGATTTTTCATAGTTAGAGACACTTCTTAGTGGGAATGGACACTGCCTTTTTGTTGCAGAGTACAAACGTTATTAGTCTGTATAATCTGTATTTTATGCGGGCCTTATCAAAACTATCCCACTTATTTGACTATGGAGAGGTTCACAAACAGTATTATATTGCTTAACAACAGAATTTGTGCAAGGACACATGATTTCTGGGTTGATAATTGACCTAGTACTGTCATGTGGAACATGCTCCACTATCTTTTGCCTTTGATTGTTCCTGGTACAGACACACATATTAATGGCTTACATGTAGGAAAACAGGGTCATCTAACAATTGACTACAATAAAATAAAATAAGTGGTAACAATACGTGCCTGTGTTAAGATAAGTCACATTATTGTTCATAGTACCTGATAAAGCAGTGTATCCAACATACTGATGCTGAAAACCCTGCCAGCAGCGAAGGGCAGTCGAAACATAAATGCCAGATTAGATCCCTTCTCCCGCTCTTTCTGTTAGGGAATTAAAAAATACAAAATACTTTTAGTGCTGGTTTTGGAAGAACTATCATAAAAAAATCAAATTGACATTACTTTGAAAGAGGTCAAAAGTATAAAATCCCTTTACACTGAATATAGTTTCGTTCTACAAATACGTAAGCATCTTTGTTCAGCACTTAGTTTTTCAGGTTGAAAGATTTTGTTTAATGCATATGTTGTTTCAGTCATCACATCTCAAATTGCATGGGCATATTCTGCCAGATAATTTCAAAAATGATTGAGGGATTTCAACTGTGCTTAGAGCAAAGTTCTTGTTATTCTTGCTCCAATTCCTTCATGCTGACAATGAACTCTCATTCAGGTCCAGAAAGTCTACCAGGAACAGGAACACGAAACATGAACAGGATCTGACGCAAAAGGGAAGAAAGGATATTTCAGTGAATGTGAGGATGTGAGAGGAGATCAGACATGGACTGGGGTAGAAAGGTCTTGCTCTGATGCTTGTGGGGAAGGAATGCAGAAAAACATAGCTACAGTTATGCCTTATTCGTAGCACATATAACTTTCAGAAGAATTGCTCCACAATGTGCTTACTATTCCTTCAGTTATCAGAGAGTAAAACTGCAGGTTGGAAGTGATTTTGTTATTTTAAGAAGAGAGAAAATAACAAGCTTTCAGTTCAGAGATGCCATGAAGAATGTGTTCTCAAAGTACAGCAATGTCACATGTCTTGGAATTGAGACACTTGCATCCACCACATATAAACAGTAGCACATAGTGAGGTCTGACTGGTTGGCAAGCAGCTTGGCAGAAAAGACCCTGTGGGTCCTGGTGGACCAAGTTGAACATCAGCTAGCAACGTGCCTTTATGGCGAAGAAGGCTAATGGTGTCCTGGGGTGCATGGGGGGAGCGCTGCCAGCAGGCAGAGAGAGGTGATCCTTCCCCTCTGCTCAGCACTGGTGGGACCACACCTGGAGTGCTGTGTCCAGTTCTGGGCTCCCCAATACAAGGAGAGATGGAGCTACTGGACATAGTCCAGAAAAGCACCACTAAGATGATTCGGGGACTGGAGCATCTCTCCTATGAGGAGAGGCTGAGAGACATCTGGGACTGTTCAGCCCTGAGAACAGTAGGCTCAGGGAGGATCTCATCAAAGTGTATAAATACCTGAAGGGACAGTGTAGGAAAGACAGAGTCAGGCTCTTTTCAGCGGTGCCTAGGGGACAGGACAAGAAGCAATTGCACCAGCTGAAACAAAGTTGATTCCTTCTGAATGTTGGGAAACATTTTTACTGTGAGAGTGACTGAGCACTGCCAAAGATTCCCCAGGGGGGTTGTGCGAGTCTCCCTCTCTGGAGATAATTAAAAGCCCGCTGGACACCATCCTGTGCAACTGGCTCTACGTGGCCCTGCTTGAGGAGGAGCCTTAGGCAAGATGACTTCCAGAGGTCCCTTCTAACCCTAACTGTGCTCTGATTTTGTGATATGCGAATGAGCAGCCTCCTCTAATGAATGGTTTTGTTGAACGGCAGCATTCAAACCCCAGTTTGTCATTGTTGAATAGTCTGGTTGTACCTGTGGATTTCTGTGGTGTCTGTCATAACAGCGGAGTTGAAAAAGATGTCACACAAAAAGAATTTCCTCTCCAGATAAAAATACACAGCAAATAACTCTTAAAAATATGTCATTAATCTATCCTTTATAAAATGTCACCTCTGTCAATCTCTTCAGATTAAGGGGGTTTCACAATTTTTAAGGAAACATTATTTCAGGTTGATTGTTTTTTTAATTCCAAACATTCACTGTTCTGACCAAATACTACTGGCTTGTCTTAGGGTTTCTTCTCCATGAGAAATGCATACATACATATACACTCATGCTCTCGCACATGCACACACACAAGTTTTGATGCCTGAGCAGCAAAGGGGAGTTTCTAGCAAGTCATGTACTTCTGACAGTTGAAAAAGAAAGCAGTCTAATTCTACAAAGAGCACTTTACTTAGCGAAGCCTACCATTTGCTTTCTGGTGGAGGCCACAGAAACAAGAACTTATGTATTTCTTTTGTGGTTCAATCTCATATATTTGAGTGCCTTTTTTTTTTTTTTTTTTTTTTAAGTCTAGTTGGACAAAGTGGAAGATATTTTTCTTCAATTGCTGTTGAGAATAAAACCTTGTGTGTGAATTACAGAAAAGATTGTAAGATTTGTTTTACAACAAATACCTCAAAATTAAAACTACATGCATATTATAAAGTACATTACATTAAATCCTTTTAGAGTCATGTCCTAAAATATTTTATAGGGAACTGGCTGTGAAGTGACTATCCTTCTGTCACATGACTGAGGTATTGTGTTTATCCTTCCATCTGATTAGAGAAATTTGCAGCAGATTCTGATTTTGTACCAAGAAAGGTGGGATAAGACAAGAGACATATGGGGAATAATTTGATTCTTATCCAAAATTCTGGTGATAAACATACAGATGTTCCTATTTGTTTTATTTTAAAATGGAAGCTTAGAAGTTTATTCTCCCCGTTTATTTTAAACTTCTTATATTGTTTGTTTCCATTGTTTATTACAGGCTTGCTTTTTTTTTTTTTAATTCTCGCTTCAAAGAGATTTGTGAGAAATACAATTTTTACTTGGGCACTCTGCATTGAGTTCTGCTTTATTAGTTGCAGACTTACTCAACTCGCAGAGAAAACTGAGTATGTAGAAGCCAGAAATGTGCCAGAATGCCCCAGCAGTTTTATTTCTCCATGTGATGCTCAGCAGCCCCTTCCCTGACACTTTTTGGAATTAAGGAGGAAGGGGATATAACTACTTAAAGAAAATCATACATAATTTCTAGGAACATAAATAAAAGATCACGGCATGAGTGTGTCCTGTAGAGTTTCACATATATAGATGACATTTTAAGACACAGCTATTAATAGATGGAGATCTTTACTTCATCCTCGGTCTTCCTATATTTGTGGCTTTGCTCAAGTCATGAACTTAAGAATTATTACTGCTTTCTCTCTAAGTAATAACAGGTGTATACGTGTGGGTTTGAGACATTCTTAGCATGTGCTTCCTCCATATAGGCCATTTAATTTGAAGTTAATGATTTCCTTTTGGCCTTGCACATTGTCAGAATACCAGAGAATATCTGTCCAGAAGGTCAAGTTCACAAACTTTTCAGTTTATTTCCCTCCTTTCTACTTCCATTTATATTCATATCAAATCCTCTTTAGGGTTCTTTATCGTGGTTTTATTTTTTTACTATTTCTAAATAAATACCTATTCCTTCATAACAGATAGTTCTATAATACCAATAACAAAGCACCAACCCCAAATTAACTTGAAGCCCTGTTTTGGCTGCTCTGTCACAGGTTAAAAGAGATCTAGGGCCCATATTTATTTAATATGTTCTCCTCTGATATAGACAGTAATGTGGGAACTGCCATGACAGGCTGTAACTGTTGCGAGCAAACAATGCAGAGTTGCTTTAATAAACATAAAAGGATTCAGGGTGGGGCGGCTGGGTGTCGTGCCAGAACATAGAGATAGTGGCTTACTACAGCGAGCAGCAAGTGCACTGTCAGCTTAAGTAAATGTCGGATGGTAAGACTGATCAGAAATCTGGGCATGGAAACCTCTTTCCAGTTCCTTTCTTGACATAAGGGATTTTGGATCAATAACACTTCACCTCTAGAACGGTTTAAAACATTTTGAACTGTGTGTTCTTAATTGATTCTCTTCTACCTTTTTGGCAAGAACAGATTCATTTTCTTTTGTTGATCTGGAACAGCTTTCTCAAAACCTGCCAGTTCAACAGCCAAATGCGTATGCTAATTATTTATACAGTTTTAGAATTCTAGCTGATCTAAATCATTAGACATCCATCTCATATAAGAATTAAACCAATTAAGAGGGACCAATTTATTTTTTATAAGCCATATATCATTGCTGCTTGCTATTCCTTAATGTTACTGCAAATCTGCCTAAAACCTGAACAATATAAAAAAAAAAAAAAACCAAACCCAAAACAAAAAAAAAACACCAACAACCAAAAACCACAAATGGGTACAGTATGCCCTATCCTTAATTGAAGGTGAAAAAGGAGCCTGGCTTTGTGTATATTGGTGCAAATATACAGGGTTATCCCAGATACATGTTATGTGAGCGGAAATCTATGTGCTTATCCCTGTAGAAGATACAAAATCATAGAATGGTTTGGGTTGGAAGAGACCTTGAAGATCATCTAGCTCCAACCCCCCTGCCATGGGCAGGGACACCTTCCCTAGACCAGGTTGCTCAAAGCCCCATCCAGCCTGGCCTTGAGCACTGCCAGGGAGGGGGCAGCGACAGCTTCTCTGGGCAACCTGTGCCAGTGTCTCACCACCCTCACAGTGAAGAGTTTCTTCCTAATATCTGATCTAAATCTCCCCTCTTCCAGTTTGAAATCATAACTGCTCATTAACACACTCCCTGGTAAAGCGTCACTCCCCACCTTTCCTGCAGGCCCCCTTGAAGTTCTGGAAGGCTGCTAGAAGGTCTCCTTGGAGCCTTCTGTTCTCCGGGCTGAACAACCCCAGCTCTCTCAGCCTGTCCTCATAGGGGAGGTGCTCCAGCCCCCTGATCATTTTTGTGGCCCTCCTCTGGACTCCCTCTAATAGGTCCATGTTTTTGGGGCCCCCAGCACAAGAGAGATGAACACAGCACTGCAGGTGGGGTCTCACCAGAGCAGAATAGAGGGGGAGAATCCCCTCCCTCAACCTGCTGGCCACACTTCTCTTGATGCAGCCCAGGATATGGTCGGCTTTCTGGGCTGTGAGCGCACATTGCTGGCTCATGTCCAGTTTTTCTTTCAACACCCCCAGGTCCTTCTTGGCAGGGCTGCTCTCAATCCACTCATCCCCCAGCCTGTATCTATGCTTGGGCTTGCCTCGACCAAGGTGCAGGACCTTGCATTTGGCCTTGTGCAACTTCAAGAAGTTTGCATGGGCCCACCTCTCCAGCCTGTCAGGGTCCCTCTGGATGGCCTCCCTTCCCTCCAGCATGTCGACCACACCACACGGCTTGGTGTCATTGGCAAACTTGCTGAGGGTGCACTCGTTCCCGCTGTCCATGCCACTGACCAAGGTGTTAAATCGCAGCGGTCCCAATACTGACCCTTGAGGAACACCACTTGTCACTGGTCTCCACTCGGACATCACGTCATTGATCACAACTCTTTGAATGCGACTATCCGGCCAATTCCTGATCCACCGAGTGGTCCATCCACCAATTCCATGTCTCTCCAATTTAGAGACAAGGATGTTATGCAGGACAACGTTAAATGCTTTGTACAAGGCTGGGTAGATGACATCAGTTGCTCAATATTACAGTACTGGTTTGATTAAAAGATATAGGAATTTGCACGTATTTTAAAATGATCACCTAAAGGTATAGAATTTTTATCCTTCAGTTAATGCCTGCGATATTTACTTATAAAATACATTTTTTTAAAAAAGTCATAGGGAATTAAAGTGTGAATCTTAACCAAGATATTCTAAACCGTTCCTTTCAAGAAAGAGGGAGCAGTTACCTCATTTTTTTCTTATCAAAGACAAATAGAGAACATAAGTTTTAAGTTTAGACCATGGGTGTTTTGTTTTTCCTTTTCTCTGTTGTATAAGGGCTGTGGCTTTCTCCTATGTCAGTGCTGAGTTTGGTGTTCAGATTTATTTCTTTCTGAAATGAGAAAATTTGCATCTGCAACAGCAGATGGACTTCGCTGATTTGCATATCTTTCTTCTGCAGCCCATTAGGTTGAAAAGTCAGTTTTGCATATGTGTTTCAGTGCTACCTGAAGGCAACTTGCCTGACTTTTGCAGTCTTTCTGAAAATGAGGTGCTTAATGCAGAAATAACAACCAACGGTACATTTGGCTGCATTAGATAATTTTTACTTGAGTTTTTAATTGCCTTTCATTTTGCGTGAGGGAGTTCAGAAACATCAAATGAACTATAGCACCACCTGTGAAGTGGTCCCTGCAAATGTTAAGATGAAATGAGTGGCAAATATCAACAGCAGGCAATTTCAACAATGAAGAAAATGTTCTTTCTTTAAGGTAATTTATCTACCTCTATTTCAGCATAGCATAGTTTTGATAGGTAGTTAATTAACTGTTTAGCTTCCAACCTATATTCACAACTTTACATTTGCAAAATAAATTAATAAAGGTAGGGAAGAAATTATAATATTTCTAATTATTTCCAGAACCTTTGCTGTAAAAAATTAAGGAGCCTATGTAAAGCAAGAAAGAGAACTGAGATAAAAATACCGGTTTCACTGCATTGAAGTGAGGCTATATCCCACAGAGTATTTCAGAAGAAACTGCAGGCACTGCATACTGGGAAAGGTATTACTACTCTTCCCTCCCTTTATCACTAAACTGTATGGATTAAGGGAATATGTTTTTAAAAATAATTAATTGCTGTTGGTTATAGTACACCAAGGAACTAAGTTAGCTTGGAACACAGTCTTCAAGGTGCCATCCAGCTGTTGGTACTTGTTGCCCTAAATAAACTGGTAATGCACGATTCCAGCCAGTTCCAGCTTATTCTTCCTGAAGGTATCATTGAGGGAGAGAGTGATAAAATGAAGGAGCCACAAATGCAAACCTTAATGGATAGTAGGAGTGGTGTAATCCAAATGAAGATGTGCCTCCCACTGCAAACTGCTCCTCTCTTTGTCTAACTTTTGTCTAGCATGCTCACAGTTCCCCATTTTATGTGCTCATCAGAACATCACCTAAATAAGATTAAGCCTTCATTCTATTTCAGGCAAAGGTCAACAAATCACAAAAGATCACCCCAGATCTTTATATCTTGTGGCTGAAACGTAAGCAGGACAGTCAATTGTGTAAAAGATTGACTTTTAATACTTAACCTATCTCATCTAGACAGGCTGAATTTTTGCAGAATTTGACTCCTGTGTAAGAAACTGGGAGCTGGCCTGTGAAGACAAGCTTCTATGAAAAGGCTGTTTTCCATTAATTATGTACTAAAATTAACTATGTGAACATTATACAGTAAATAGTGAAATACCTGAAATTCAGTGAAATATCTGAAATCCCCAAAATCTAGGAAATTTACCGTACAGCTAGGAAATGGAAATTATATGCTAATTCTGTATAATGATAATGATTTTAGTATGAATTCAAATTTGTTAAGGTATGTAAGATGTCTGAGGTGAAGAGATTGGAAGACTACATGAAAGAACCTAGCAATAATATCTAAATTGTTAGCAAGGGGAAAAAAGAGATGACTGGAGTGAAAGATGTCTGTCCTTGAAGACTGGCACAGTGATATTATTTCTCTCACTCTCATACGCTCAGAAAATGGCCTGAAAGATCATCAAGGTGATACTGTAAGTCTTGGTAGGTAGATCACCAACTAAGATCTCTGAAAAAGAGGCTTGTCCTGGATTTTACCAAGTTAAACAGCTACACGAAGTTACTCTGTATGCTCATGTGATGTTTTAGCAATATATTTTGGACAAGAAAATTTCATTAAACTTATCTCCACATAGCCTCCCTGTTCCAAACTTGGAAAACATAGAATCATAGAATGGTTTTGGGTTGGAAGGGACCTCAAAGACCACCTAGTTCCAACCCCGCTGCCATGGCAAGGACACCTCCCACTAGACCAGGTTGCTCAAGGCTCCATCCAACCTGGTCTTGAACACTGCAAGGGATCGAGCATCCACAACTTCCTCAGGCAACCTGTTCCAGTGTCTCGCCACCCTCACGGTGAAGAACTTCTTCCCTGTATCTAGTCTAAACCTGCCCTCTCCCAGCTTCCAACCATTACCCCCCACCTTATCACTGCAGGCCCTTGTAAAAAGTCCCTCCCCAGCCTTCTTGTAGGCCCCTTGCAGGTACTGGAAGGCTGCTATAAGGTCTCCCCGGAGCCTTCTCTTTTCCAGGCTGAACAACCCCAACTCTCTCAGCCTGTCTCAGCCATACCAACATGTGCACTAGAAGGTAGAGAATATGGAGGTTTTATCTAGCGTTTAAGAAGTGTTACTACCCTTACCGTCATGAAGACTGCCCTTCGACAGAGAACAATTGCTCTTCTCAAACTGTCACAATAATGCAAATATCCCATAGAGATACATGGAAATGTATACAGAATATGTAATTACAGTGCCTTTGAAGTGAATTGGGATAAAAAATGCATTATAATAAAAGCTGTGTGTTTTAAGTGGTTAGTCAATTAAAGTATGTTCCATGTTAACTGCCTGTGGCAGCCTCTTGAAATACCATATTAGCTCTAAATAGTCAGTTATGTAAATATATTCCGTTTTCCTTGAGCAAATTCTGTGTCCACCTCTGTCCAGAGGGTTGGTGGATTAATAACATACTGCAAAGTGATGGAACTCAAATGAAACCTCATTCTTAAATAAGGGCAGATTTTGGAAAAAATAAGCTTTTACATTAGCTCTGCAGCCATAAAATCATTTCACTGTTTGCACTTGTTTTGAAAGCATTGTTACAAAATCAGAAAAAGCATTAAGAGGACAACATTTAAATTGGGGGCAAGTCTCCTTACCTTTTCTAATTTGGATAGAGCAAGAGAATAGCAGTCTTTGGCTCTGAACTGCATGAATCTCATATTGGCTGGGTGAGTTAATTCTGTGATAATGCTCAGGCTTGAGAACAACCTGTATTTTAAAAGAATGTAACAGTTATACCTCAAATTATAACAATTTACAACTATAAGGCTCTAGGTAATGCTATAGCTTGTGCTCATGTCCATGCTTTTAATGAAGTGCCTGAAATCTGTAGTGTTTTTCAGCACAATGAAATGCTGGTATAATAGCAGAGGAAACTACAAAACATTCTCTGTAGAATTTACAAAGAAGCAAACATACATTCAAAGGTGGAGCTTATAAATTATCTTAATGCTAGAAAGGAACAACTTAATTTCATTAACAGAGATTTTATTTAACAATTTCTGAAATGACACAAATCTGTAGGAAACAATAAAAATGCAAAACAATATAGCCTGCACTTAGTATCTGGTTGCATGTAAACTACCATTTTATTAGAACTGGCTTATATATTCTTTCAATTTAATTTTTTTTTGAGGTCTGTTTGTATGCTCTGTGTCCACAGACCGAGCAACATAGATGAAAACTGACACGTTTTGGGAGCTGCTGAGAAAATGTGTGCTTATGTATACTTATGTTCTCACTTTGAAATATTTATATATACAAACTATTTAAGTTAACACTAATTCAGGCTTCCAATAACAAAAAATAGTGAAGAAAATTTAACTCTCATCTGCCTGAATTACACAGATTTTCATGAAGCAGACTGAAAAGACCCTCTCCAGCCTTCAGGGCTCTAAGAACCAGAAATTTGTAGTTTATGTTATGTAAATACCAAACAACTTGAACAGAACTCAGATTATTATTTGAGTATTTCCTCTACAGATTAGTGTCAGAAAATGAGATGTGCATACGTAATCTGTTCTGTTGATCCTTAAAGTAGTTATCTACATGTGACAGTAGATAATTGTAGTACTAATGACATCATTAATGTGGCTTCTGTTTCATTCAGTTAAAAATTAAAGTGGTTTTCTTGAAAGCTGAATTTAGTAAGTTAGTGTCAAATAGAATCCAATGTACCTTGTTGCAAGTCTTTAGCCTTTTTCCCTCATTTTTGTAGGGAGGAACTTCACTGAAATGGCAATTCAAGCAGAGCCTAAATGTGGGGAAACGTATGTCAAAACTATCTGCCAGTATGTGTTAATGCCATGTTATTGCAATACAGTTTTCGAGGTCTGTTGATGCCAAAACGTAGACTGGTAATGAATATATGATGGTAGAAATACTAGCTATTCTTATGTTAGCAGTTATCATGTTCCTGTGAATAATCAAATATTAAATGTGATCATATAATGAAAAATGGACCTGGCAAACTGGGTGAGAATGTGAACCACTTAACAAAGACCATTTGTATGCACTGTAGTTTGCAAGGCTTTGTGCACGCTCAGGAATTTCTGTACCTTTTTAGCTCTTACAGTCAGACTTTGATACAAACTCCAAGAGGTGCAAGTGTTATACGAAGTCTACTTACGTCCTACTAAAGATTAAGCCCTTAGGGAATGGAGTCTACATACACAGATTAAATACATGATAATCACACCCTTGAGATGCAACTGTAGTACAACTTCACTTGTATGCTGTGTTATAAAAACCTGTGAAGTGCTCACATAAATTGAAATAAATCCCGATAATATCACGCTTGTAGGTATGAACTTGTACTTATTAAGTAGCTTAACGAATGTGTAAAAATTCTGAGGAAGGAGAATAAATTTCCTCTGCATTAATTCTGTATCATGTAGCATAGAATTACTTAAGCTTCTCCTGGCTGGAAATTTCCTTGTATTGCTGCATTAAAGGACAGACATTCATATTTGAAAACTAACGATATAACATTCAGAACTAGGAGTAATAGGAAATTAAAAGATGATCTAATTACAAAATATAGACAATTTACAGAAAAAAATGCAGGTTACTAGGTTTCTGTTAAAGGCGGGTTTAGTTTATCACCAAGATATGAAAACTGATTTATAGTATGAAATCAGTTTCAAACATGGTATTGTTAAAATTTGTATTTTACTTATGAGTGCCTTTTAGCAGAATCAGGGGAAATGACTTTCCAGCTAGTCAGGGCCAGATTGCCTCTTGCCCTGGATGTAAGGCACACTACCTGCAAGTTTACAGCACCAGAGCAAGCTACTTCTGTGCAAAGATCCCTCTGTTCTACCTCATTCTGATTAAAATGGACTGGCTGGGGCAGAGAAGGCCCGATGGAAAATATGGGTTGCTGTTGAACTGGTATTGGGGAATCAGAAAAGCAAGAGATATACTTAATTCTTTCCTGAGCCAAAAGGTTAAATGAAGAAAACAATGTAATGCCACCATAACACCTCGTTTGGTTTATCTATAAATTGGTGCTGACTGCTGGATACCAACCAAATATTGACTTGTTAGGTGTACTGCTGTCAATAGCTTCTTGTAGTATTTGAAACATAGCTTTCAAGATGTTAGCTAATAAAAGCTTAAAAACAGGCCCTCCAAAACACCAACATTTAAACCCATTAATTAATAGAAAGCAAGAGTAAATATAAACACTATAAACTGCTCCTGCTAGTACTGACCTACTGCCTGAGGAAAGCCACTATTTTTCTGAGGTGGACTCATAACTGTCAATAGGGACTCAATGGTTGGCTTCATATTTCATTAAAAAGTGAAAAGCATTTCTAGGACACAGTCCAAAACTACTAATTTCTCCTTGCACTTTTAAACTACATTAATTTGTTCTTTCCTATGTAGAGAATTAAAGATTTCCTTTCTCAGTGTGACCATTTGAGTTGCATTTCTTTGCTCCTTTAAACTGGAATTAAGTCAGATAAGCTAGTGTTGTGTCACCATTTTAATTGGTACAGAACAGCTTCTAGCCTTAAAGGTGCTAATAACCCTGTCGTCGTAAACAATGCATCTGTCTTCTAAAGTAGGGGACACACACACACACACTCTTCTGGCAAAGCAAGATTATTAATGTATGTATATCAAGGAATAATTTCAGAACCGGTATATGAGAACTGGTGACCTAGCCCAAACAGTACTGCAGCACTCTTATATCACCTTTTCAGGCCTGTCCACAACCTAATGAGGTCGACTGATCTGAGTCAATCATATCAGTGAGGTTTAATTAGCCTGTATCTTCTGAACGATTTTGCTTGGTGAGACTTAAATGGAATTTTCTTTGTTGATGTGATATCTTTGAGAACAACACATATATTAGCAAAACTCCAGTGGTTTAAAATCCTTCTTTAACACTATAGTTTATGTTAAGTGCTGCTGTTCTCCACCATGTCCAGCCTCTTCTTCATTTGTTTCTGATATTAAGTAATGAAAAACCTTCAATCACATTTTTAAAGTTAATTTATAAAACTATTTACCTAGCTGTAATGAAAGTAGTTTATTCTGTAGAACAGGTAAACACCACTACCTTATGCCTCTTTCCAAAGCTTACTTATTCCTACAACTTTTACATACTATAAAAATGCAGCGAAATTATTGTATGTGCTCTAGGGAAAAAATTATACAATACATTACTTGTGAAAGTTAATAAAGCTTTCTGAAAACGTATTGTTAAGTCTTAAAACAAGATATTTTTGCTGATTTCTTTTGATATTTGTAAAAAAATACCGTGCAGTCTTAAAATTATACTGAATCAGATATATAGCTCATACTTAAGTTAAAGCTGCCATCTAGTTGTAAGCATTGTGCAGGACAACCAAATGACTAGTAAGTTCTAGTCGGATACCTATGGTATATAGTGTACTACTATGATCTTTTTTTCTCTGGAAGGGTTTTTTTATTTGTTTGTTTTTTAGTATTTTACACAGTAGAACACAACTATGGGGAAAAATCAACTGGTACTTTTTGTTCTGTTTTATATTGGGGGTAAAATGTATTTCTGAAAAATTTAAGTGATGAATGTCAAAGGCTTGGTGATACCCTAGCACAATAAGAGCAGACTTGAATGATACACAGATTAAGTTCAATTATAGTTTCTAAATTAAATTTAGGTGTGACTATGAACCACACATACCTGTGCTAGTATCGGGTACAAATTAAAAACTCAAAGTTAGAAAAAGACAGAACCAAGTTCCTCGTGCAATGCAGATTTTGCTTCTTTTGAGCACGTGTAGAAATGCTAACAGCATTTAACTGCATTCTCACACACTATTGCGTTAAAAAATAAATAGAAATACTTGTGTTTTAATGAGCTCCATTTTCTAAAATGCTGACAGATTCAAAAGACTTTTACTATGCACCTCTCTCCGGTCTTCTGTGGAAGGCTTGACACAGAAAAGAGCAGCAATATTGACTGCTACCGAATCCTCCAGAGAAGGACTTAATTTTGTCCAGGTCTTACTAGAATGAATGACAGGAAATGCGAGGTTTAAGCCCCAAATAAGGGATGCATTTCATATTTGACTGTACAACGTGTTTTGTTTTGTATGGGGTTTTTTTGGTGTTTTTTTGTTTTGTTTCATATTTAAGCAAATAAGACCTTTTTCATTTTAAAGGGACATCTTTTGGTAGTTGTTGAAACAAAATTTTTAACACAAAGTGATGCTTTAATCACGAGGAGTTCTCTAAAGAACAGGAAATCTCATTTTGTTTAGCTCTTCATCACAGCACTGCCTTCTCAGCCTCTTTACTAGACTAACCGTCTTTTCACTCTATATTCAGTTATTCCTTCGTGACTCTTAGTATATTGTCATATGCAATGTTGCATACGTGTGCCTAAAAACCTGGGGTTTTTTAAAAACTAAATACTGAAAATGTGAACACTTACTTCAAACTTCGTAGTGATTCATTGCTTACCTTTTAGAAGTATTTGCCTTTCATACTGGCTTTAGCATTACTGTGAAAGACTGCACTGATGAAAAATTTCTTTTCTCAACTGTCTTCGGTCCTAAGTCTTCATGAAGCAAACCTGACAGTTGACTTTTAAAATAATCATCGAGTTTTGGGATGCATAGAATTTAACCTGAGATTTCAGCAGAATACCTCAGCACTCTGCTAAGAGGGTGGGAAATGGTTTGCCCACGTAAGACACAAATTCATGTAAGGGAAAACTTCAGTAGAAGAAAGAAAAAAAAATCTTATCTGAGTACAAAGGCATTAAGTATTTCATGATTAATGAAGATGTATAGATAGACTGAAAAAATGTCTTACCTAAAGAGTGTTTGAACATTTACAATAGTCTTAGCATCTGCCATGTAGTCTTCCTCAGCACTCATTGTACTTTCTTTGTCCACCACCACCATATTAGCTGCAAAGGTGACCCCACATCTTAATAAGTCATCTAGGCTTTTGTGAAGAGAAAGGAGAAAGAAACAAGTAACTTGAATAAGGAACACTTAAAAGATTAGGGATAGTTGGAATTTGCAGATCACAGGCTGAGCTGCTGGTTCCCTTCATCTCCATGTACATATCATAAATTCCAATATAATCTATGTTAAGCATATCATCTCAATTAATTGATAGACTAGAATATGAATAAACTTTTCATTGAATTCATACAGAATGCACTTCAGTAGGTTGTTACAGTCCAACTCCTTTTGCTAAAATGATAAGTTTATTCCAACTTTTTTAAAATAAGCCTTTAACGGTTACTTGGGAAGACAGTATGTCCTTCCATACTGCAACAACTTGCTTCATTGCAGTTACTTTTGTCAATAAACAGACCGAAATAAATGCTTTGTGTTGCTCTTTCCCACAATTATATTTCAGTTTCAAGGTTCTGCCATGACATTTAATACATCCCTCTTTTAGGTTACTCTGTGAGTTGGAGTGTTCTCATGATGCTTTTAGGAGCAGCTGTACATCAGTAAAACTTTGCACTCTGCTGGACAATGTTTCCTGTGAAGCCCGACCACAGAAAACACTCACAGACAACTCAGTTACAAGTTCCCATCATGCCTTATAGATTTGTTTCCAAAATGAAGCATGTTTGCAGTTTTAACAATAGTATTCTCCATAGCAAATAAGCACTTTTTGAAAACTTTAGGAAGGATTTTTCTGTAATGATAAAGACTGCTAGGAACCTAGCAGTTTTTAAGTAAGTGAAAGTAAGAAGAAAGGGTGAATTTCATGGTTTCCAAGGGAGACTGGAAAACTAGATTTTTATATCATCCTGTTTCCTTCCACAGTGAAAAGCTATTTTGGCATTACAGTTGCTTCTCATTCGGCAATCTGTAATATTAAGACTTAATTGTTCTGATAGTTTTTCTTTTCAGCAATGATCTTCTGAGGTTCCTAAGTTTATGTAACCTATTATAAATACTTTTTCAAATTTGGATAAGGAAAATTCTACAAATTTGTGGTATTTATTTATATACACATATGTATTCTTCCAAAATAAATACATATTATAATTATTTTTGAAATTGTGCCGTAACACTGGTAGTTGACTACAAAAAAATAAGGGCTGTATTTTATGTGATCTATATTAACAACTTCAGTGCACAATTAGAACTCTGCACCTTCTCTGAGTAATCTGTATTTCTGGTTTTTCAGTATTTCAGACTTTCAGATTTTCTGCATTTCAGTGTTTCATAACCTCAACAGCTCTTCTTATTTTGGTAGTTACATTCAACTAACTTGTGGAGAATTAAAAAAAATACTAATTTAGAAGTATTATAATTCTAGTTCTTAGGTAATTCTAGCTGTAGGTTTCTTTAATATTGAACAGATTTCTACACAGCTGAGAAACCTGTTCAGTTACAGACCTCACATAGTTTATACCTGAAGACTGTAGAACATATTTCTACAACTTGATGACATCTTTTGATGAAGTTCATCCTAGCTATGAATTTTGGTAAAACTCTTTTTCTGCAGGCCATCCACTTCTAACAAAAAGGAGCAGTAAACAAGAGTAATTCTTTTGTTGGTTTTCTCTCCAAGATGATGACATTTCATGCGAGGTGACCAAATGGCAAATATATTAGATATTTAAAAGGTAGTAGGTGGCACTTTGGGAATGTATTCTGTACCTACTAAATAGGAAAGGAAGCGTTGCATATAGTTCTTAAAGATGATCAACTTCTATTAATTGTACATGATTTAAAAACATGTTTAGGAAAACACAGGGAATAAATATGAAGTAAATTTTTAAAAGTCTTATTATTGATGAAAACAGATGTCAAAAAACATGTCAAAAATACTGGTTATTGCACAAGGAATTAAAGTGATTGTATTGTCAGAAAAGATGCAGAAGTTCATGCTAGTATTACTGTAAACTGTACAATTCCGTATAATCACTTATTTCAAAGACTACACACTTGATTTTTTTTTAATGCACTCAGCTCTAAAAACAACAAAACACCTTTAGGGAGGGAATTGGTGATTTCTTTTTCAAAATAAACTCAGTAAATTAATAAAAACAGGTTAACATCTTTGCGTTATTAATATTAAAGTCAATTATTCTGCTGGTATGAATTCTTTTTATAATTGTTATGGAATTAAGAGTTAAGACAGTAATAGATATTAACAACCTGAGACACTTTTTTGGTTTAGAGGAAGAAATGTAGCAAGTGAAAAACACTTTTGTAGACTGCAAATCTCACAATGACTATGATATCACCCAGACAAATTTGTAACTGTATCACTATTTTAAGTAGTTTTAAAGACCTTGTTACAACAGGTTGAGATGGAGAAATGCTGAATCTCCAGAATTCTCATTGAAAAACTAGATTCTGTTAATTCAGAGCAGGAAGTAACTTTGTTTGTTTTCTGCCTGGAGAAGGAGTATTATGGGCTTGTAGCCCCAACTCAAAATTAGCTATGTAGTGAAGCAAACCATTTTCTTCTTTAAATTGTCACTGTATACACAGGAATGATAATGAGCCCTTCCTGTTCCCTTGTTTCTGACTGATTTTTACATTAAATCTATGTTGCTAAACCTAGATATGCAAATATATATTAGCAGAGGTGAAGACAGAAATGTAGGAGTAGGTGATATTTTAAGTAGCGGAAGATGAAAACTATTGGACACATTGAAGACTCTCAGTATTGGTACTGTCTACATTTTGTAGCTATCTTTACAAAACCCTAGTCGGTAAATCCAAATAAATTATAACTAAGTATAGAATGACACTAGAATCAGGGATATAATCTGGCAATTTGGAGAAACATATTAATGCACCTAAATAAGTGTTAAACTTATGGTTTTGAAGATATTAACTTGTGTTCCCTGTCATACTTTTCACTAATGATATTCTTTATAAGTCATAAATTTGAAATCCCGAATTATAGGACACAGACACAAACCATGCATGCAAAAAGTTCATCTTCAAATACAACACACACTTGAACATGCAATGACAATACAAACAACAAACCACTGAGAACTACAATGTTAAGTTTTCTAACAGTAATTTCACCTACTTGTCGATAGAGCCCACCATGTAGTAAACCATTGGAAACCAACAGATTGCATCCAGAAAATGCATATCTGGCCTAAGCAGCAGATGGGATTACAAAATGAAACACAATATCACAAAGCAGCATCTCTTCTAAATATTTCAATAAACTGGTAGCTTTTTTTTTTAAAAAATAACTTTTTTAAACTTTGTCAGTATAATAATATCACTTTAAACAGGAAATAGGTTTGCAGAAAGCTGTGCATCAAGAGTTTGCTGTGATCATAAAGAATGATCAGAATTAACATGCTTATATTAATAAATGCACCTCTTAAATCAGAAATTTTATGGCACACTACAGTTCCAAATGTAAGAATGAATGAATGATGTTGAAGACACACTATCAAGTTATACTCCAATGCATAACTTAGGAGTACTTAAAAATAAGCGGCGAGAATTTTCAACTAAAATGTGAAGTGGAAACCTAATCATTTGGGTTTTCTGCCAACAGCCTCATTCAAGTCAATGAGACAATCTTAGATGAAACCTTATTTTTAAAATGGAATGTGAAAACTGAGATACTGTATTTTATTGCATTGTTTCTTTAATCATAAATTTTACTGTTTCTTCTTAAATGCCAAGAAGCATCAGACATCTTAAAATGTGTGATGTGTAGATATCACAACAAGCATACTGTAATAAATTGCCTTGATAAATAGATAAAATAGGAATATAACAAAAAGGCATAGACGTGTTAATCAAAGGTAGCTGAATTCCTAAGTCCAATGACATAAATGACAAAATTCCAATTGACTTGAATGGCAGCCTGAACTCCACCTCATGCATGTATGAAAAGCATGCTGGCTTTTCAGCTAGCTTCTGTAGTCCCTTGAATGCTGGCCTTTCAGAGGAATCACTGCAAATGCTGTGTAGAGAGAGGCAGCACTAAGGGCATTAGTTTAATTAGCAACTATGCTAATAAAAATTGGTTTTAGCCGTAAATGCCACAACAGCATTAAAGTATATAAACTCAGGCACTATGCCGCTGGAAAAGAGAACAAGCGCTAGAGGGCACTGTATGCTCACATCTTTAATCTTAAAATAGCCGCAAATTAGATGTCCTTTAGCCTAACCTAGTCTTTTACCAATTTCTGTAATTCACTCGATACCATAATATGTACATAAAAAAGCTTCTGTTTTGCAAACACAGGGGTATACAGCTGCGCTAAAGAGTTGTCTGAGGCAAAAGTGGGACACTTCACAGCAGGTTTTGTATACTAAATCACTTGAACTAGAACATATATATGCAAAGGGAAATGTCAGCCTGGAATCAGAACGTATAAGAAATTTCTACTGCTGTCATTTCTTTGAGCCATAGTTTGATCTAATTTTCTGTATACAGCTAACCTCCATTTATGTGTCTTCCAAATTGTGATTTTAAGTACTTGATCAGTACCAAAATGTTGGAAAAAACCTCAAAAACGCAAAATAAAACTTTCATTCATTGTTAGATTATAAATGAATCAGTCTTGCCAGAGAAGAATTTGTCTGAAATTTTAAACAGCTGATGCAAAAATGGCTAAGAATTCCAGCAATCTCCAGGTAGATATGGTAGTATGGTTGTAACAACAATATTGCAGGTTTTACTTTATGTAATACAATAGTACTGACTTTATACAACTGTAGACAACGGGGGGTGGGGGAGGGGTGTCCTAATGGCTTAAATAACTATTTATCTTAGAGTCTAAAATTACAAAAAAAAATCTAACTAGTCCAGGCCCCTCAGTGCCTTGCGTTAAGAAGGTTACTGTTGTCTGAAGAGCTTTCACGTAGCTGTGAAACTGTTACAGTTTGCTTTTCAGTGTTTATGAAGTTATTTAATTTTTGCAGCAATATTCCCATTATTTTGAATATTTTTAAGAAATACTTAGCTGAAACATTGGCCCTGACGAATAAGGACATTTACATTCACTGTGGCCATGCACAGCCAGTAAAAAGTCAATTTTGTATATTACAGTGAACATAGGGTATTATTTTTGTCACCAACTCTTTTCTCAAAGATAAATGTGCCATAATGTTTTTGATTTTAAGTTGGCTGTGTGAAGAGTGATCACCCATTGAAATAATGGTAAAATGAGTTTAAAATCTATCATAAAAAAAGTAAAATCTACTTACGGGTTATCCAGGAGTAATACAATGGGATTTAGTTCTTTCTTTGGTCGGTAATAAGCTCTGAGTGGAACAATAAAGTTATATAAGCCATTTCCAGCAGTTTCTGCTGCAACTATAATCAATTTATTTTTGAATCCATAGGCTTTGGCATCTTCATAGTAGTTATGCTGGCATCCCTAAAATCAAAATAAGAAACAAGTTCAGTGGATATGAATAGAGATTTAGCTGTGACATAAAGAATTTTATCATTAGAAATAGAAAATTGTATCAGATGACCTTATATAGACCTGATTAGACATAAACTAACAGTGATGAAAAGGATGAGAAAATGTTATTATAGCTTAGTAAGTGCTGAACAAAACTCATCTCTAAGCAGAAACCAGAATTAAACTCTGTTCAGATGCAGGACACAAATGAGAATGCAGTTTTATCCAGTAACAGAAACTCCCTTTACCTTATCTAGTCTTAGACAACAGAAGGGTACTTTTTCATGCAGAAGATGACAAAATGTGGGAGAGCTTCCGATATATGGGGAGTAAGGAGGATAGCCTTTGGCATACCTAGGAGAATAGAACAAACATTTTTCAGTATAGCAAATTACTGAAACACAGTTGACTATACAATTATTTCATGGGATGTTTATATCCATGTCTAAGTTTTGCAGTTATCTGTAGAGTAGAAATGAGCTTATGTGTCATACAGTGCGCTGTCCTAGTGTTCTGAACACATGTGCTGGAAACTTCTAAGGAAGAAAAAAAAATAGAAATAATTGTGGTACTTCTGCTCCTCCTTCTCCATTTTTCTTTCAAACACTTGTTGAGAGAGTTCATTACCTTCTTGCTTTAGTAACATACTTTCAGCACGGCTGGAGTAAAGTTTAAATAGCATATCCTCTTGCTGATGAGATTAAATTTCTAATTGGCCTTAGTTTTTAATAAGAGGCCTTTAAAATCCTGGCATTTCGGTCTGCAGATTTAAGATGACTTGTTCTATCTTTTTTTTCATTGGAGCTTTATGATCCTCCCTGGGGCTTCTCATGCTTGCCACTGTTGGAGAGAGGTGAAGCTGTGCTAGGTGAGCCACTGGCTTAATTGCATATTTCAGTTTTAACATCACTCTCAGTAATCCCAATGAACATAACTGCTTATCTGCATGGCAGTTACAGGACTGAATTTTCCGTTTTTATTTGAGTAATGCATCATTGCTTTCAGTAACATGCTAACAAGCATTTTTAAATTAGATGTAATAATTTTGTCTCATACTGCTTTTTTTCATTCCTACATTTTGAAGTCAGCCCCAGGGTTCAACAAGCTTGTTGAATGATCTGATTATCACTGCATTCTCAGGACAGAAGTACTTACCTATTTACAAATTAGTTGAGTCCTGTCTTTATAACTATAGAATGTAAGAAAATGGTCATAAAAATGTTATTAAAAAATACACGAGTAGATCTTTATGACTGAGTATAGAAAATCTCCAGCAAATGGCGGAGTTAATATGTGGGGTTTTATTTCACAATAGGCACAATAGCATTCTGCTAACAGACAATAGCATTTCACAAAAGGGGAATAATTCCATAATTGGCCTTTATGGGTCTTGCATGCTATAACTGCTTGGATTGCTTTGCATGTCAAAAAGCTATCCATGCTGTTTACATAATATTAGATTTTCAAGTTATATTGTTTAATATACATACTCCAAGCCTGCAGAGACTTCATCATCTGATGGAGTAGTTTCATCTTCTGACTGGTCACTTAGTAGGTCACACGTCTGAAGTGAGGATGAGTCTGCAACCTCCAAAACAGGTGCTATACTGGGCCGTCTGCCCTCTTTACCTCCCTCGGAAGGAAGAGCTAGCGTAGGTCCGCTGGACGTTCGGCATCCCGTATCTTGTAAATCGATAGCCACTGTCCCTGAAGTAGCATTGAAAACATTTTCTCAGCGTGGTTGTCAAAACATCTGAATGAGATTCCCATATCTAGTGGGGATTGCCTGACTACATGACTGAAGACTAATAGGAATATTATATAGTGTTAGGATAATGGTTGGACTTGATCTTAACGGTCTTTTCCAACCAAATTGATTCTATGATAGATTCTGTTTACTACATTAAAATATAACAAATATTTGAACTATACCTGAGGAAGTCTTTTCTTGCAAAGTAGCAATTTTTCTGACCATTAATATATATTTTCTTGTTAACTACCTTTTCTAAATCATACCTTACATAATTCATCCATATTTACATGCATCAAAAACATGTAGGTTTTTATTGAGCAAGGGCATTTTTTTAGTTAAAGACACTTAGGAAAACTTATTACAAACAATGAGTTATGAATGACAAAGAAATTACCCATGTGATTTTCCCAGTTGTTTTGTTTTGCACACATTTTTATTAATACTTTTTATACAACAGCCTTCAGCGGTTTAATTCCATATTGTAAAGTAAATGAAAAACATAACCAAATTCTGTTGTCTTTTTTTTTTTTTTTAAATATGAGGTCAAGTGTTTCATACTTTTTCTTTCCTCACACCATTATAATTATTTATATATTAATTTAAACTATAATTTTAGGAATACACTGTTAAAAGCTTCAAAATGCACTAGTCATTGAATAAGAATTGTTGTGATGCTTCTTTTTGGTGTGTTTGTTTTTACTTACCCATGCTAGCTATTATACTGTGTACAGGTAACCTAGAAGCTCCATGATAAGATAATTTTGATTCATGGTTTTTTCTATGCTTTTCTTGCTTCTTAAAAGCAGAATTCTCTTCTTTGGTGATATTTATATAAAAGCATACATCTGTAGAACTCATGATATATCGAGGACCTGGATTCAGCAAAATGTTTTTGTTATCTTCCTTTCTAACACCAATCAGACAGACTCCAAACCTTAATTAGAAAAGGAAAAGCATGGTTCATCTTGCATAGTCCTGTATACACCAGAATTTCCACTATCAAAAATGAACCTCCAGTATATCGTTATATTTTGCAGATTATGAACATTTGCAGAGTTTTGGATGACAAATATGTTTGAAAAAATGTTATCTCCTCAATAGGCCACTTCTGATCAAGCAGTTTCTATGAGATTACAAATCCCTAGGCACATGAATGCAGCGTTTTTCTTAATTCTCGTAATATTCTTCTAATGCTGTTCTAGTTGATTTTTTTCTACCAGATAAATAGTCCCTTCTGGGAATATATTAGTAGAAGAACGGATATATAATATGAAAAAGTATTCATCATGTTAAATTGTTCCATTATTCATATGTAATGGAAACCATTTTCGGAATTCATTTTTGTGATTCACTCCTAGAAATGTATTTGATTAGTGATAGAAAATAAGGAATTAAAGAAAAAAAAAAATATCTTTCTCTCACTTTTTAAGTATGAGAATAAACTCAGTATTCAGGGTTTGATAGATGTTCATATATATATGATTTGTGTTCAGTTTGTACATTCACCTCACAGAGTGGAATAAGTAATGCATGATCTGGAACCTAGAGAAGATATGTTAGCATCTAACAGAAAAAAAATGTTTTTCAGCTGACTCTTAAATAAATGTAGGAAAAAAACCCCCCACACTAACACCCTCCCACCCACCTATTTCTATATTGTTTTGGATGTGGAAAGGGACTGGTGTTCTCATATAACCCCTCTAAGGTACAATTTTTTTTCTGGTTGTCAGGCTTATCCTGTATATCCTATATATTCTATTCTCTCAGAACGTAAGCTTTTACCTGACCAGCTGTAACTCACAGAAAAATATCCATGAAATACATTAGTGACCAGATATTTAAACCCAGAAACAGAATAATGCGTAATACTGCACATTTGAATGTAGAGCTACATTGCAGTCAAAACAATTAATTACTTATTTGAACTTTTAACTGTTGACAGGAAAACAAAACATACTTTTTATGTGCATGGAAAGAAGCATATGTGAAGCTTTTCCCCTCATACTCAGCAAAAAAAGTACTTTCTTCCAGGTTAATATGATACACTTCATTACCAGAGCATCTGCCATACATTTTCTGCCATTGTTCTGGTGATTGCTGACTCTCCCTGAAATATGTACAGACAAAGAGAATAATTTAAAACTTAATGTAAAATTCTTATTAATCAGAACAGTATTTCATGGCTATAGAAACTACAAATGTCTATTAAAAAGGTCCCATAGGCTAATCTGAAAGAAATATTTGAGATCAAAGCTTGGTAATACTGTAAGCACAGAGATTATTTTAATGAATTAAAGAACATTTTCTGCTAAGTAATAGGCATACAAGATCATGTACTTTAACATCAGGAGAGATATGGCTGAATTACTTTAAAATCACACCATAATAAGTAGATTCATTGCAATTTAAAGATGACAGGTGAAACCAACAGCATG